TGGCATAACCTGTCCCAAACATATTCTCAACCTCAACACCACTGTACCCATCTCCCCCCTACCCCTCACCTACCGTAGTGCTCTCAAAGACCCCAATTGGTACAATGTTATGTGTGAAGAATTTAATGCTTTGATTAAGAATGATATATGGGAATTAGTACCTCCCTCCCCCCACCAAAATATCATAACCGGAAAATGACTTTTTAGACACAAACTTGGCCCTACAGGTGAGTTAACCAGGTACAAAGCTCAATGGGTTGTTCGGGGCTTCAACCAGAGATTCGGAGTCGACTATGATGAGACATTCAGCCCTGTGATCAAGCCAGCTACTATACGCATCATTCTCAGCCTTGCACTCTCTCGAGGATGGCCGATGCATCAGTTGGACGTCAAAAATGCCTTTCTTCATGGCCATTTGCAGGAAGTCGTCTATGCCTCTCAGCCATCAGGATTCCAGGATCCCCACAGGCCCGACTATATATGCAGGCTCAAGAAGGCTCTCTATGGCTTGAAACAGGCTCCTCGTTCGTGGTACCGACGATTTGCTGGGTTCATCTACACGCTGGGTTTTCGAGGGTGTAAGTCGGATACCTCTCTCTTTATCTACTCTCATGGGACAGACACTGCCTACCTACTCCTTTATGTTGATGATATCGTTCTCACAGCTTCCTCTGACTCTCTCCTTAAGCGCCTCACTGAGCGCCTTAAGGGGGAATTTGCTATGACTGACATGGGCGACGTTCATTTTTTTCTTGGGCATCAATGTTCACCGGACATCGCATGGTCTCTTTTTGCATCAGACACAGTTCACGCACGACATCCTTGAGCGTGCCGGCATGATCACTTGTCGTCCCATCTCCACTCCAATCGATACGAAGGCCAAACTGTCTGGCACATGAGGCTTCCTGGCAGCCGACCCAGCTCTTTATCGCTCCATAGTTGGAGCTCTCCAGTATCTCACATTCACCAGGCCAGACATCTCCTACTCTGTTCAGAAGCTCTGCCTCCATCTACACGCCCCCCGAGATGCCTATGTCACGGCTATGAAGCGCGTCCTACGCTATCTCTGTGGCACCTCCACCTACGGTACGACTCTATCTCCCTCCAGCACAGATTCTCTCCAGGCTTATTCTGATGCTGATTGGGCTGGGTGCCCCAACACTAGACGATCCACATCAGGCTATTGTGTTTTCCTTGGGGACAACCTCATCTCTTGGTCCTCTAAACGCCAGGCAACTATCTCCCGATCTAGCGCTGAAGTGGAGTACCGAGCCGTGGCCAATTCCGTTGCCGAAACCAGCTAGATCCGAAATCTTCTTCTCGAGGTACAACAGCCCCTACGCCGCGCCACACTTATCTTCTGTGATAACGTCAGTGCTGTTTACCTCTCCACCAACCCGGTTCAGCATCAGCGCACCAAGCACATTGAGGTAGACATTCACTTTGTTCGTGACAAAGTGGCCCTTGGCCAGATCAGAGTTCTTCATGTGCCATCCTCATCACAGTATGCCGACATTTTCACAAAAGGCCTCCCGTCCATATTATTTCAAGATTTTCGGTCAAGCCTCGGGATTCGCCCACCACCGACGCCGACGTAGCATGGAGCATGTTAAATATATACTTTATTTATGTTAATATATATTCTATATTCATTGTACACATATCGTTTCCTATTGTAGAATCCTACCATAATCAGGATTAGGAATAGCTTGTGTATATAAACACATGTGCTCCCACATTATTGGTCAAGGAAAATCATAATTCTTCAAGAAATACCGTGTTCATCACAATATGTCTCAAAATCGGTATTCTGATATTCTCCTCCTCTATCACTTTTAATAGAGGTTATTTCATAACTTTTCTCATTTTGAATTCTCTTGCACAATTTAACAAGCGCATTAAACACATAATCTTTATTGGCAAGTAATATAGTCCAAGTATAACGAGAAAAATCATCTACAATTACAAATGTAAAGCTAGCTCCACCTAGGCTTTGAACGTCTACGGACCCAAATAAATCCATATGTAAGAGTTCAAGTGGCCTTGACGTTAAAACCATTTTTATGGGTTTAAATGATACTTTATGTTGTTTCCCAAGGGAGCATGCATCACAAAAACGAGAAGGGGGTATGCTCATTTTTGGTAGCCCAACAACAAGTTCTTTTGAGTAAAGTTTTCTCAAAAGATCATAACTAGCATGTCCTAGTCTACGATGCCATAATGTTGAAAATTCGAGCGAAGTAGTAAGACAAGTGATTTTTGAGTTGCTCAAGTCATTTGAATTGAACTTGTATAAGTTTCCATCTCTTTTAGCCTAAAAAATGATTTCATCTTTATTTTGGCCATATAAAACGCAAGAATTTGCATTAAACTCAATTTTGTGGCCATTGTCATAAAGTTGGCTTATGCTAATTAAACTGAATTTTAGGCCACCAACATGATAAACATCATTTATTGAAAAATCACTTGGAATACCTATCGTACCTTTGCCAATGAATTTCTTACGGGATTTGTCTCCAAGGTTCACATGTCCATGACTTTTCTCCTTGAGGTGTGTGAACCATCCTCTTGTTCCGGTCATGTGCCTTGAACATCCACTATCCATAACCCAAGTGGTATTTTTCACCTCTTCCTCATCGTTTGAAGCCATGAAGCAAGCATTCACGTTTTGTTCTTGGCTTTGGTCACTATCACTTTCATCTAAGTTTAAATCGTCCCAAGTGACCTTCAATGCCTTCTTCTTCCCCTTTTTAAGCTCTTCCTTCTTTTTGAGCTTTGGGCACTCCGGTTTGATGTGTCCTACATTTCCACATTCATAACAAGTTATTTGATTAGATTTACCTTTCTTTGGTGGAAATCTCTTTGAGGATTCGCCCTTGTTCCATTTCATAAACTTTTTGTATATCTTGAACATGGCTAGTTCCTCATCACTTTCTCCTTCGCTTTCCGGGTGGTCATCGATCTTGAGCGCCATGGTCTTCTTGATGATAGGAACTTGTTCTTCTTCCTTCATTTTCCTTAAAAGAAGCTCGTTAGAGTATAGGCTGCTCCAAATGGTGGAGGTGTCAACATCCACACATTTGGGCAACAAATTTATAACAAGACTGTCATTCTCTAGGAAGAGAGAATATAATCTTGGTGTTAATCTCACTAGTAGTATACACTTTATTTAGCTTACTCAAATTGTTGACAATGAGATTGAATCGTTTGTTCATATCTTGAACGGATTCTCCGGCCTTCATCTTGAAGTTTTCATACTCGGATGTTCCTAAAGCTATCTTGGTAGCTTTGGTGTCTTTATCTCCTTCGTGGGTGGCTTCTAGGAGCTTCCATGCTTCCTTTGCGGATTTGCATGAGCTCACCCTAGCAAATTCATCTTGACCCAAGGCACAAAGTAACACGTTTAATGCTTTGGCATTCAATAAGAGTTTTTTCTTGTCATCGGATGTGAGCTTGTCCATTGGCGTAGGCACTTGATGTTCACCTACAGTTGTCATAGGAACAAACGGACCATGAGTAATGACTATCCATAAATCATAGTCAATGGATTGAAGGAAATTCTCCATTCGCATTTTCCAATAGCCATAGTTATTCCCATTGAAGAATGGTAGCTTGGTAATGCTTTGGGAGTTCATTGAATCCATGTGTCGTAAGAGAAATTAAAAGATAAGTTTGAAAGGATTAAACTTCCTACTCCGATACCAATTGAAAGTCGGTTACACCCTAAGAGGGGGGTGAATTAGGGTGTTTAAAAGTTTTTCGTAAAATAAAAAACTTAGGCGCTAAAGAAGTAGCGGAAAAGGAGCAAGAAAAGTATAAGAAATAAAAATACGACATAAACGATTTTATACTGGTTTAGGAATTCCCTACTCAAGTACCTCGAGGCTCCTTCTCAAGGATTTAACCTCCACCAACTTGTTTGGCTTCACTAAGAAGACTCAAGCAAGGTTTGGCAAACTACCTTTGCCAATAAGCAAATGAGATTTTACTACGGCTATCTCAACCGTTTACTACCGAAGATTTTAAGGCTATCTTCAACCTTACAATGAGGATTTAAAGTCTATCCACACCTTTTACAAAGCAATAAAAGATTGATGTTGCTTATCTACCAAAATGATAACAAATATGAATTGGGTAAGAGAAGAACGAAAAATTAAATTAACAACAAAAGCCTATAGGCAAGATATAAAATAATGAATCACAAATGCTCTTGTGTGTGAGTGTATAAAAATAATGAAAACTTTATACTCAAAAGAGTAAGAAAAATAAGAACAAAGCTTTAAGGAACACTCAAGAATAGAGAAAGAGGCTTTAGATTTAATTGAGAAGCTGTTGTGTATAAAATGAGACTTAGAGGGGGTTTATATAGGAGTTTAGAAGGTTAAAATATGAGTTTTTAACATTAAATGCCGTTAGGAAGTGATTTGAATTTACATTGGCAATTAGCTACAGTGTTGATAACGGATACGGTACCCTTCACGTTAGGGTCAGTACCGTCCGGTACCTAGGTACCGTGACCACGGTACAGCCTACCGCTAGGGGGTACCGCATAAGCCAAAAAAATAGATTCGGCTGTGGCGGTACATGGGGTAAAATGACTTGGCCAACCGTTCCAAGCCTACCGATGGTACCCATGTACCGTTACCACGGTAGGGGGGTGCCGTGAACACCCAAGTGAAACGTACAACGGTATGTTCACTTGGCTACCGGCGGTACCCTGGTGCCATGTACACGGTAGTCAGGTACTGTTATACCTGTGAGATTTTTCCAAAACTTGTTGTTTGTGTTCCGTTTTCAAAATAACCCCAACTAAGAATATATTTGACATTTTAGAAATAATTTTGAGTGAAAGGGCATAAGTAAATCATTAAAATATATCGTTACCTTTACACAAATATTTCTAATCTCGTAGGAGTACTTCTTGGGGATGCTAAACAAGCTAATAGAGGTTTGGAATTTGGTTTCTTCTTGCAAATGATGTTAGTAGCATTGGAAGACTTATTTGGCACATCAAAACGGTTACGGAGTATGCCATTCAAGGCCAACACAAATGTCCACCAGACTCCAAGAAAAGATTTTCTTGTATCATGAAAAGAGCTTAATGACATCTTCTCGAATGGAAAAGCTAAGTTTCCAGCCAATTTTCACCTTCTTTTTTGGCTGGTATAGTTACATCGAAACCTCCTCAATCTCTCCAGCAACCGTAACCCATGGCCTTTATTCCACGACTTTTGGTAACAGAGCCGTAATCGCATTAAATTGGGTGTCATACTTAACAACTCCTTTTGTTTCGCTCATGTACCAGCTTCGAAAGAGCTTCATACTTCTGCGAGGTGTGCCGATGCTGGAAGTGGTTTGGAATTCCAACGCCAAATGCCATGGCAAGATTATGCATTGAAGGTCTTCAAGCTCCGGCCTTCCCAAGATCATACTGGTGTTGCAAGCTATGTTAACGACCACGAACGTCAGATCTAATCGTGCCACATTCTAGGTATCTTATATCTCAACTCGTAGAGTGATCGCTCCCTCGGCATGGATGGAGTCTCTCATGAAACCTTTTAGTGGACTATGGATAGGAGTTAGGTTTGCCTTTTGAAGTTTAACGCCTTGAAGGTATTCATATTAGGGATGGGATGGGAAAACCGAATATCGCAAAATGAATCGAAATGAGCTAGAAAAAAAATCAAACTGAAAAAATCGAAGTCGAATGTAAAAAAACTAAACCAAACCATTATTGTTTGGTTTTCGTTTTGGTTTTCACCTTGTAAAACCACCGAATAAACCAAACTTCCTTTGGTACTTTACTTTACTTATATGAGTATATGTGATATGAAACAAAAAATCATAAAAACATAATTGTAAATAATTGATTAGTCGGTTAAGTTTATTTTTCTTAACTATTAAACATTTTAAACCATATTATAAACTTTAAAAAGCCTAAAAATATAAACATCATTAACTAATCCTATTGCAAAATCATATTAACATTAACAATCGATACGAGTAATTTATATATTTACATGAGAAAACTTTGATGCTATAATAGAAATGAAAGTCTTATACCAAAAATGCAAATTCTCTGTAATTGATATTTACATACGAAGTCTTTGGGAGTATTTGGAAACTCTTAGATGTTTGTTGGGCACTCGACACATATTTTTTTATGTAAAATTGAACCAAACCGAGCTCTAAAATCGAGCCCAAGCCCACATATTTTTATTGCTTCATCGAATTAGTGTTTTTACAACTTTTTAATGCTTATAAATTTTATTTTTAAAAACCAAAAAATCCGAAATAAAAACTGCATAAAACCGAACTGAATAACCAACGGTTTATATATTTTTTATGCGAAACGGAACCAAACCAAACTGCCAACTTACCTTCCATTTTGCCTTTGGTTTTAAGTAAAAACCAAACCGCAAAAATTGAACCCACCCCTAATTCATATACATGATGTTCACAGAACTGCCGGTATCCACCAGGGTTTTGTGAATGATGAAGTCCTTTATATCCACCCTAATCATGGTTGCATCCTGATGTGGCCCCCGAATCTGCGTCTGTGAACACCAATGGTTGTGTCTTCATCTTCTTCTCATCCAGAACTTCAGTACTTATTTTTGATCCTCAACTCCTTAGCCCACTTCTTTATGCAAGTCTCCAAGTTACTACCACTATGGTCGTCCCCGATGTAATTGCATCCGTGTTGCTCCTTCTTTTTTCGAGATGTAACATCACCGTCGTCACTCTCTTGGACCAAGTGGTGATACAACATCATCTTCGTCACTCTCCACGGGGTCCTCTTTTCTTTTCCAGATCATGGAGCCCCTAGAGGACTCTAAGGCTTCTTTATCTTTACCCTTCACAATTTTTTTCAAGCGACCACATCGGATAAGCTTTTCCATCTCATTTTTAAAGAAAAGCAGTTGTTAGTGTTATCGTCATTTTTACGGTGATAGGCACACAACTTCTCTGTGTTGTTCCCTCACGTATTTTGTCTGAAAATGTAGGGTAGTAGATCAAACCCTTTTGATCTGCATATTCCAGCATCTTCCCCACGGGAACTAAGAAAGATATCAACTTTTCAGGTCTAGAGTATTCTTGAATTCTACCCTCTTTGGGTCCTTCCAGAAAACCCTTCACATTACCTTTGAAGTTTTTTGACACCAGGGGCTCGTTCTTGGTTGTTCCAGGGTGCTTCACATTTGTATCTTTTTCATTATCTTCTAGGTATGCATACCCTTCTCCCGAAGAATTGCTTTTTCATAAGACTCCATGGGTCGTATGGCCAAATCAGTATGTAGTTGACAATTCAACAGTGATGTTATGAACATGACAAGTCATGAATTGTCCTCAGCATCTTCCACCTACCCCATTTCCTTCCTCCGATGCGTCAAACTTCTTTTACCGTCTCACCATGTGTGTAATGCTTCCTGGCCCTACAATTTCTTGTAAACTAGGTCAAGAAGCGCTCCCCGAGCTGGTCCTACTAGGTCAAGAAGCGCTCCCCTAAAACCTTTCTATTGACAATTTTGAGAAAACATCGGTATATAAGCTCGTCCGTAGCATCTACTAAGATCATATTCTGAACATAACTCATCAAATGTTCTTGGGGATCTTATTTTCCATCATACCTTCTCATATAAAGAACCTTAAACCCGAGTGGATACGAGAACACCATAACCCTGGCCATGAATGGGGTTTCCGCCCATGTGTCAAAATTTCTTCCCTTCGAAGCATTAAGTTTTAACTCCATCCTCTAGAGGCATTAATGAAGATCCTAGATCTTCATATCTTCGTGTGGTGGGATTATGGCCTCATCTATCCCCCCTCCCCCCTGACAAAAATTTTCTCTTATCTCATCCCCAGGGCACCTCAAACGACCCTGGAATTGGCTCGAAACCTCTAAATCGTCATCACTCGTGAGGTGTACAAATATCACGAGACCTTTAGCTTTTGATATTCGTACCTCTCTACGAGATGACGCTGCCTAACTCTAAACCGGTTCCGAAGTCGGTCTTGCACTAGGATTTGGCACCAACCTTTTAGAAACCATAACTCTAGCTACAGGAAGCCTTCCAAGTACCTTGCCCCCTCAGTCAGCAACCTCCACATCTTGTGGTTGGTTCAGATCCCGGGGTAAGGATATTACAGACAGACTCACAAGGTCCCCATCTTGATTTTGTCGATCTCAACTCGACGTGGATCTCTTCAAGCTAAGCCGTTCATTATACTCTCTTATCCACTCGTTCTCTAGCTCCATGGTCTGGAGGTTCTCCACCAGTTGGGCAATGGGGCACGGGTCCAAAAGACCTACCGGACAACGTTCAGATTTTCTTGTATGGGTGGGAATGAAGGACCAGGTAACCAATCCAACGTATCCACGACATTGGTGAGCAACAACACAATGTTATTCAAGTTGCTTCTAGGGTAGAATGTTGGGGAATGAGAGCCCACTCTCCCATAGATGGTTGGGGTTGGCTGACGCCTGGTCGTTGTTAGAACTGCACGTCTACTTTAATTTGGGTTCTCTTGCCTACCATAGCTCTTCTCAAGAATTTCACATATCTCTCAA